ATCAATGTATAACATCGCAAAACTTGTAAAAAATTTCACTTCCGCTGATATAACCGATGCTACCGAGGAGAGTGCAGCATTAATTAATTATAAATTCGATAATTTCAGCAAAAATGGCCGACTGGGCGTGGCCAATCAATGGATGAAGCCATTATCTCGAAAAAATCCGTCCCCAACAAATTACACAATGCTCCGTTGCATCGCTCCGATTTACGCACGAAATACAAGAAAGTGTATAATTAAATGTTACCGAAAAAATCACTGTGATTACACTCATCGACATACAACTTATTAACGATGCTCTCATGCGAATAATACACATCGCAATTTATAGAAATTTTAGTACAGAATATGTTTTTCATACTGAAGATCCAAAACAAAGGATCGAAACGTTTATGTAATATTTATGTACTTATTTATATTTAAAATAAAATAATTTTTACACCCGTATTTCGTGCTGGCTCATATAGGCTTCTTACACGCATTTGTATAATTAAAATTTGTGTAACATCATACAATTGTAGATCTTTGATAAAATTGTTGGTTAATTGTTACAGAATATTCCTACAGACTTGAATTAACATTAATTGGAATGTAATTTAGATTCTCTATCCTGTTAAAAGTAATGTTAGGAAAGAAAACCAAAGGAAAATTAACAATTTTAATTAATTTGAACAAATATTTAAACATTATAAGCTACATAGCAATGATCGATTTGCATTGCGCATTAAACATATCATACTTATCATTGAAAATAGTGATATATACAATATATATGACGATACGTAGAAGAAAAGTCCTTATTATGAGATACCGATCATTTTGGGTAAATGTTAGAAGCCTATAGACAGAATTTAAAAAAATAATAGGTCATTTTGAAGGGAATTTAATAAGCTTTAAGACAACGTTACATAAAATTTAATTCAAATTTCATTTTTTTATGAAAATTAAAGAAATGTAAAAAGTGAGCAAAATTCGCAAAGTTAACAAATTCTCCTAATATGAGACGCCTCGAGAAAGCGACAGTAAAAAAAATCAGCAAAGTATATCAGTATTGCAATTAAAAAACTTTATTTAATGTTCCTAAAATACAAACAAACACAGTCAGCGTGCGTGAAAAATGTGCACGCGATAGATTATATCCAGAACTCATTTTCAGGTAGTTGGAATCAAGCATCGCAGATATAGGCACTCTTCATTCCGTTGTCTTTTTTATTATTGTACAATAATATTTATACTTTAGCAACGATTTTCACTATAATATAGGAGCATGGGTTATTTCATATTAGAAATACCATGGATATCTCATATTACGATTTCCACGCCTTATGGTTTTACGACCGTCAAATCTAACTTCTGTAATTAAACAATTCAACATATCCCGTATTTTTATATATTAGTACGACCTTACTCTGTCACTACATGAAGAATTGCCAAATATTTATTTATTAAATAATAAACAAAGTTTAAATGTTCATCTCAATGAAACTTGAAGACATCCAAATTCTAAAATCTTGTTTTACAATAACTACAGGCATGATCCAATAATGAATTTTCTACTAAATAGTTTTCAACCGAAGAACAATAAATTCATGGTAGAATCAATAAATAGCGTTTATTAGTTTAGCAGAAATGCCACTATCTCATATTAGACATCTATCTCATTAATAGGGAGCTTTCCTCTATATATTTAATCCTTTAATCTTACGTATGCTTACTATATGCAATAACTGAATGAGAATCCGTAAATATAAATAAATATTCAGCTTATAGAAGATAAGTTCGGCGGTTACAACTATGTAATCATATTTGCGAGGTAACGAGCTTCATTAGTCGATATCTTCATTAACTGATATCTTTCAGTATTTCAAATGGCTGATCTAATTGGCATCGCAATGGCTGGCACGTACATTCTTCGTAAATTTTTAAAACATTTTAAGAGATTCATTTATATAATACTTATATTTTTCGTTTGTTTTTTAAGATTCTCGATAAAAATTAATTTCGGATTTTAATAATTAGTGCAATTAGATAACGATTTGTTTTTCATAACCATTTATGTGTATTAAAATTCTTTAACGATATATAATACATATTACTTAATACATATTACTAATTAATTAAATATTACATTCAGAGAAAAAGTGACATGAAAGTAGCAGCTATAAAAGTGAAAGTTATACAAATTTTATACGTAGGATTAATGTACACAATTGAATAAATTATTCATTGCAATTATTAAATAGTTAATTAAATAGTTAACTTAACTATGTATATTCGTTATTCAACGATGTATGTGTGTACTGTAATTATACTTATTAAAAAATTGTGTAGTTTTCATCTTTATAATTACCATTGTTGCGTTTTTCTAAATATAATCAATTACGAACTATAAAAATAATTTCGCAAATCTTATTTTTGTCATCTTCGTTTTACTTTCGCATAACGTATACCTTTCATTTGTTTATCCATTCATGCTTGCAATAATCTTAATCAAAATGCATAAATATAAAATAAATATAAAAAGCACAAAAGACAAACACTTGAAAACCTACTAAATGTAATACGTCAAAACGTATATCCAGCAAGAAATGAGCTTTCGAGTACGGCGATACAAAACTATCATGTCATAAACATCAAGAAACGAGGTTTCTTGAAGCAGGATGATATCCGCATTTCTATTCGTTACGGGAAAATTCATCAGTATTCTCGCCCGCGGACTATCGTACAATTTCACCGATCGAATCATCGCTCTCACGATGTTCTCTCGCGGGTGTGATGGTACTTACGTACCGCTTGGAAGGAAACACACGGCATGAAATCGAGGATTACCGGTGCCGCATTGCGATATCAGAGAACTCGAGTTCTAACGATGATTTACAGCCGGCTTAAGTGTCGATGCGAAGTGTATTTCGGTGGAAACATACACACCGTTTCCCTACGGCGGCATCCCGCGCTCGAATGTCGCATCTCGAAGAGATCTCGAAGATCTCCCTCGCGGAGAACGCAGGCGTTCTCTCGCAGGCTCCTCGCACGAAGATATCTCGCGAGAGATACGCCAGATCTCCGTCTGGCATGCGTAAATATTTTATACGCGAAGGTGCGTCGATCAGAGGAGTATCTAATCACCTATAACGGGACGCCGCACGCAACGTGAAACGCGCACCTACCTGCGCGACTAAATTATTTTACAGCTCGTAAAGCGCGAGCAAAGAATACGTCGTTGCTAACGAGAGGGCCGCATCTATCAAGATAATAAGGATTACGATTTCTCCGTCGAGAGATTGTAATGCGCTTCTCGAGCGTACGAAGGCGCGGCACGACTCGACTCGACTCGGTGCGGTGGTGAAAGACCGCGAGGAAGCAGCCATTGGAAAAGATTAGATTATTTTGCTCGTTATGTTTTCCCTTTTTCCTCGCGGCGTTTGTAAGTAACGGCTCGCCGACGGTTGTAAGTAAGCGATTGTTCCACACGATGGGAAACTCAGAGTTTTTCCCTCGCAAGGGGAAAATAATGATTGTCCGATGATTTCTTTTCTCTTTCATCACTGCTTTCATCCACGGATACTTTCAGCAATTAAGAGCTTAATTGTACTGTATGTAATCTTAGTTTATACCGGATATTATGTTATGACTTGCGGTAATAAAAGTAAGATCTTTCCCTTATGATGATAGTTCTATTGTTATCATATATATAAATTCAAAAATTTATATTCCTAATTGTGTATCCCTCCTTTATTCATCTTATTTCTGATAAGAAGATAACATTGTATAAGAAATTAAATTAATTTTAACTTAAAGACGTACACTGAACAAAATTTCTGGTTGAAAATGGACGAATCAGAGTTTTCTGGTTAATACAATATTTCTGGTAAAATCTACCAGAATCCTCATTTTTACTAGAATTCTAGCAGATTTAACTAGAAAATTCTGATTCGTCCATTTTCTATCAGTATTACTTTAATTCAACCAGACCATTTTTCTCAGTGTACATATATATAGTGGACTTTTTGAAACATACCATATGTTAAAATTAACATTTTTATACGAAAAGTCTCAGATATCTCAGAAAGTCCGCTACATGTCTTTAAGTTAGAATTAACATTTTATCTTTTTTTTTTTTATACAGTATATTATCCATTAGATTTAAAACATGAAAAACATATATTTCTCCCGCGTAACTCAGAGTCTTTCCAGGCTAAAAACGAGTATCCCGATGATGATCTGGTAAAATCCACCTGTAATTCCACTGCGATTTTAATCAGATAAATTAATACACGCGTCGCTTCCTCTCGTCACGACTACATGTCGTCTCATTATGCGCCACGATGTGCCAAACGAGGCGCGCTCGTGTCAATCTGATACATCCTAATGCACTTACGTGAAACCTATGATTAAGTTGAATCGGGTATCAACGTAGCATAGGGGAAACAAAGGACACACCAACACACTGTTGGTAGGTACCGCACATATACATGGTATACATCGCACGTCCTGGCATCGTCATCGATCATCCAACGTCACGGTAGGGTGCGTTTCGCCGTAGCTGTATCAACGAGGGATCGCATGGTTCTTTCTCATTTTTTGCCAGCTAACCGTGCCATAACCCGCCACCCCCGTCCCGATCTCCTCCCGGTCTCCTCATTCGTTCCTCCCTCGTGAGGCTCCCATTGCCATCGGCGAACTTCCGCTTACAGCGACTTCCGGTTGGAGGGTTGAGCGCATCGCGGCCGTCACTTCCGGCTGGTCGAGACCGAACGAGGTTGTCATGGAGACCTGCGGTCGGGTCTCCACCCTCGGACACACCCCCGACAGTATGGCCGACGACTTACCCTTCTCTTTGCCTGCATGCTCTCAACAAGGGCGTCGACCATCTCGCTCGAGAATTTCGCAAAGGCCACCCAAGATGGATGGGTGGGGAGAACTCATGATACGGAGGGAAACCCTATGGGTCTCCGTCTGTGTATCGTGAAAGGACCCTCGACCCTCCGAGTGCCACTCATCCTACTACATACAATGCACACAAGATTTGTGATACGTGTCGGTGTACGAACACGCACATGCGCACCGCAATTCTTGATTCTCATGATCCTCTTTGTGATCGAGAAGGATCACGCAGATTGTATGTGCGGTATGTACACACAGAAATATTTTTGGATTAAACCCTGCGATATATTCGAGGATATACGCGAAGCAAATGCAATCTCAAAAAGCGTGAATTTCAACATGACCTTTCAATGCGACTAAAATTCCATTGATCTTCGTGATTTTATCATTATTTGTTCTCTATTTGTGCTGCCTCTCTCTTGACATGAGCGCTATCGAGAGCTTTTGCTAATTGGCTTCTCTATAAATTAATATTGTTTTTCATTCATTATTCATTTTAGCCAGTTCTGTTATCATATTTGTGAGAAAATATTTTTGTATTTTTGTTTTATTTACTGCTGTAAAACAGAATAAATAGAACTGAATTTCAATTGAAGTACTACTTTCAGCATGTATCCATTGTCTTCACTTAATAATAGCATTTCACATTGTTTTTGCTTATATGTTATATTTTTGATAAGACTATTGAAAAGTAATTTTTAAATAGCAATAAAACCATATTCGCTTTTTTTAATGATCAGCAGTCAAACTTTATTTTTAACATAGGTACTACATTTATTTAAAAAAAAATGAGTTTGCAAGTTCGTGTTCAAATATTGTATAATAAAGTATTCTAAAGTATTGCAGCTGTATTACATCTCGTACTGTAATTGCAGTTTATGACGGAGAAATTCATAGCTGCGAAGCAGACGGATTTATTCACAATCCATAGTTAATTCAATCCGTGTATTTAAAAAAAAAGAAAGATAGAATCAAGAGAAAAAGAGAAGCACAGGAGACCCGCATTGATCTGTCTTCAAATCCCCATAGAAATTAACTCGAGAACACTCGACTGCCCCTTTCACCGGATCACCGTTCCAGACACGAGCACTCGTTAGAGCATTAATTAGCGATAATCGAAACCGTGCAATTCAACTGACGCGGAACGCAGAAATTTGCCCAGCAAGCAAGTTGAGTTTCTCCCTAGAAAACGATAAAAAAACAAATAGCAGGAACTTACAATTAGTCGTTTTGTAGACAAAGTCATTGTTACGTATGGAGAGCAATGTACACTTAATTATCTCTGTAGATAGGACTAAAAACTTCATCAAGGAATTCTCGATGATAATTTTAAGAGTGAGATGTAAATATAATAAAGATTTTGTTATCATCAAAAAATTCGCTCAGACTTGAACTTGATGATATTTCAAGTATTTCCATAAATCCGATTTCAAATAGTTGCTCTATAAGTTGAAGTTACGATACATAATTATGATACAATAGATTAATATAGAATATTAATATGGTGTATATTAATATATATTATAAACAACTTATCATCAGTAATAGCTCAAATGTTATAATGGTGATTTAAACATTTCTCTTTATGAGAGCTGCTTCACACATTCTTAGTGAATATAAATACTTATATATTAAAACTGTTGCTCATAAAGAAATAAATATATTTACGTATTAGACATTTACAGCAATTTTTGTAATATAAATATAATATATCAAATTCAAATAACAGAAATTTTAATTATCAAAAGTTATTATCGTGATATATGATATGATATATATCGAGATATATCGTGTGACATATTCTCATTAAACGTAAATTATGGTATACAATACGAAATAATATTAGCATATGTTATATGGATCATTACATGTTACAATTATATTCAAAATTATGAAAGTTCATATTTAAAATACAAATGTATATATATATATATATACAGGGTGTTCCTAAGTTAAATCGCCAAACTTAAAATATGAATTTAGGACCTCAAAACAAACAAAAATTTTCTTGTAGACGTATGCTCGCAAATACTTCGTTCAAGAGAAATTTATTTCTGAAGTTATGCAGAATTGTAGGGATGAATAATGTCGAAATAAGATCTATCTTCTTTATTGCTTTACAATAATAATTTAATTATTAAATGTTTTGTTCAAAATGATGATCTCCAGTTCAGAAACAAGCATTACATCTGTCGAGAGAACGAGTGGTTGATCGTACATGTCTGTAATTTCTTCGCACGCTTGCACAATTTTTCGTGCACAATTTTAATGATTGAAGGCACTGCATACACTTTTTGTTTCAGAGTACTCCATACAAAAAATCTAATGATATAATATAAGTATACGATATCACTAGAATACGAGGCATGATTATAAATTTTTACAAAAGTATTCAACGAACTAATTGCAACAAAGTACGATATATAACTACGAGTTTTGCGAACAAAAGTCTATCAATAACCTTTTAGCTTCAAAACAAAAACAAAAGATATTCAATTATTCATTCGTATAGTTCTGTAACTTCAGAAGTAAATATCTCTTGAACGAAACATTTGCGAACATACCAGAGGAAAATTTTTATTTGTTTTGAGATTCTGAATTCATATTTTAAGTTTGGCGGTTTAATCCGGGAACACCCTGTATATACATGTTGCACACACACACAACTTAAAATTTTTAATATTTTATTTATATCTCCATCGTAATTTCAATTTTATTCCAAATTTAGCGTCTCAAAAACTGCTTTTTTTTGCTATTATATTATATTTTTTTATCACTGCAAAAAGATGAAGGAAAGCAAATGTTTGTATTGTTCAAAAAGGAATTAACAACTTTCGTAAATAATAATTAGCAAAACAATATATATATATATATATATATAGAATAAAATTATAGAGTATACGAGATGTAATGTTCATCTTACTACTACAACTCTGAAAATGTAATTGTCGAATTAGTGTACGCTCGCAAGCTTTAATTACACCGTAAGACTCATTTAATTGCAATTATCACTGCTAGAATAACAAAAACGTTGTTACAGTATGTGACAATTATTCGTTATGGTCACGCAAGCGATATATTAATTGTACAATTGTAGTGAACTCGATAAATCTTGCAAGTGAAGTGCACAATTTTAATAGTATTCATCCACGTTAAATGTTTGAGTTTTCAATAACAATTTAACATTTTACGTTCAATTTAGTCTTATTCGTTAATTTGCCTTTTAATTATATATTATATCGTACCGCTTATACAAATTCAAAATAGTATTATGTGTACATTTTAGCTATAAATTAAATTGAATTATTGCGCACTCCCTCTTTTTAATTTAAGATCGCTTTTTTAATTTAAGTTCTATAATTTTTTAATTTATAGAACATCTATTAGTTTGTTCAGATTATTTTCATTTTTATAACAATTTTTATTTCAATTTATACTAAGATTGTTCAATAGATTAAATATGAAAAATTTTATTTTCAAAAGATTATAATAAAATATACCAAAATTTTTTAAATATTTTTATAACAGCTCAAAATATTTTTGTTTAAAACTTATTTTTATTGGAAACTATGTTTTAAATAAATCTTCTGAAAAATAATTAAAAAGTTATATTTTTTCAAAAATTTTGTAAAAAAATTAAAGCCAAATTTCTAAATATCAAAAATTTCAAAAGCAATATTTATTAAGAGCTATACTTTCTCGAAAAGACAGAAATTAAAGCAATATTTAATTTTATATTTGCAAGAAAATTTTGTAACATTGAAAAAAGTCATCTCAGTACGTCGTATAGACGGAGTTGAATAAGTTAACATTTTTTTTTAACTAACAATAAGTTAAGTTAAAATTAACAGCCTTGAAAATTTAACTTAATTAAAATACAAGTTAATCTATAATAAAATTAATTGAATTAAAAGTTAAGTTAATAAAATAAGTAATTAAAAAGTTAAAAGTTAAATTTAGTTCAATCAAACATTCAAAAAAAAAAAAGAAAATTGACTATTTTACATAATTTTTTGTATTTTTTCTTTCTCACAGCTTATTTATTAAAAAGAATTTTTATTTTTGATTTACAAGTAACGATGATACAATATAAAATTACTAAATTCTCACTAACTTCTCGCTACTCATTAACTTCTCGCATTGTATCTAAGGATTTCAAAAAAATCAAATTAAAAGTTAATAGTTACCGATAAAATGTGACTAAACTAAATTAAAATGTTAAGAGTCTAAAATGTAACTAAGTTAAGTTAAAATTAATTAACTTTTTAACATAACTTTTATCTTTTTAACTTAGCACTACCCAACCCTACATATAAGTATTCGCACATGGGAGAATGGCGGCAATGTCAATTAGCAAACGGGAGGAAATGGAGAAGAGGGTCGGCATCTTCAGTCCTGAAATTCCCAGCCGAATCGCAACCCCAGTGCGGCGCCCTTCAAACTCATCAGAGCGCGACGTGTCGTTCGCCTACGAAGCTTTCGAGTGCCTGGGCGTCGTCGTCACCGCAGCCGTCACCGACGTCACCGACGTAACCGCCCGCATCGAGTCAGCCATTCGTGTCGTACAACAGAAAGGAAGGCGAAAATCCGGCGACAAAAGGTCATCGCGATCCGGGCGTGTTCGAGAGATCTCCTCTGAGATCTATCTCGAGCCGCGACGGCGAAGAAAAAAGAAAGAAGGGCGAAAGAGAAACGTGGGCTGAACGAAATTCGGGCGTCGCCGGCGTCGCCGGCGTCGCGCCGTTCTCAAGTGGAGAACGACGGGCTAGGGAAAAAAAATCCATACCGATGTCGTCGGCGCCCAGAGGCGGAGCCAGATACATGTACCATACGAAGGGTGCTGATGACTCCCTTTACAGCGACGCACAGGGGCGCAAACGATAATTCGTCGGCATGGCAACGCCCGTCCTATTGCCACTTCTCGTTCCTTTCTCTTACCCTCTACCTATTCCCCGGTCCTCTCCAACCCCTTTTCAAACGATCTTCGTCGGATCTCGCCATCCTCCCTCCCCAGTCGACGCTTCGAAGTCGAACGAATGGCGCTCGTGAAATCCGTATTTTCTTCCTTTTGAAGATCTCCGACCGCCTGCACTTGCCACCCTCGAGACCGACAGGAAAAACTCGACGATGCGAGGGTAGGTGGGAATGTATTAGGAAAGCCTGGCCTGGTCTGTTGCTACGGCAACAGCCTGGGAGCCTCGTTGAGAAGGATTGGGTCGATCCTGCCCTCGGTGGTAGAAGCAGTCGAATAACCTTGAAATATACCTCCTTTTCAGATAGCTTTGCTCGCGATACAATAGTGAAAAATGGTACGGCGCGAAGGGTGCAATATCGACTTGAGTGAACTCGCGTTACGATGATATGATCATTAAACGCTTTCAGGCTTGAAAATTCCATTTAAAATGTGCTGTTGAAAATATTTTTATTTGGTGAAAAAAAAATTTTTTTTCATCTATATAATAATTCTCGTTTTTCATAATAAACTGGAATACTCTATCTGTAGAAAATTAATAAAATTCATTTTAAAATTTTATAAGTCGTTAATCTCTTTTAAAAATTATTACTCATAGCGATTATTTAAAAAAAGATATATTTATCTTTTTATATTTAAATAAATACAAAAAGAATATATTACGTTTTCCGTGAATAAAAGAGCAACATTACACAGCATGTAAAAATTTTAAATAAAATTTAAACTTTCGTTTGATTTATGTGAATTAAATTAGAGAATAAATGATTTAATTTTTTACGTATAAAGAAAAAAGAAATTAATGATAAGTTTAGAAAAGAACAAAAATCATAATTAAAATAAATAACTATTTCCATAAATTAAGAGAATAAACAGAGCTACAGAATCTCAATCTAAATTCTTCTAGTAAAAACAATAAAAGGAAACATTCGTTATATTAAATGTACAATCAAAAAATCAATGCTGCTTTTATTGTGTGGTAAAATGGAGATAAAAAGTCAGCTTTCTTTCGCTGCATGAAATTACACCTTTATACATATAAGAGGAAACAGAAAAAAAAACAAATAAAGAGATAAACTGCGAACATAAAAGAAAGAAAGATGAAAAGGCTGCAGCGAACGAACTAATATTTTGCGATATTTACACCGGAATCTTGTAACGAGTCGTCCCTATAATAATAACCTGCCCGTTGAACGATATAGATCGTAGACGATCACGAGACTGACGTTACATTTTGATAGGCAATTTGTCGCGATCACCGGATCTCGATTAATATTCAAATTCCGCCGCCTGCTGGCGTCTCTCACGCGGTGATAGCTAAACGCAACCTGCACGCATGGCGTGTGTGCAAGGCATAATTATTTTTAATTAAAAGCGTCTCTCTTTTTCTAGTATCGATACGTTCACGCGATTGTATCTGATTTCCTTTCAAACGTCGAACAGATCGTCGATCAGATCGTAACTTAAATCTCTAATTTAACAAGACAAATACACCTATCATTTCGAACGACTGCAACATTTTTAATTAAATCCGCGTTAACTTTTAATTAGTCACGCAAAAATATTTAATCGCGCGGGGTCGCTAATTACCCAAAAATAAAATGAGAAAAATAAATAACAAATATAAAGAAATATATTGTATATATTTTTTTTTTATTTTAAGTAACAAAATTGCTCTAATCTGAAAACATAAATGTTACAGAAACAAAATATCTTAGAATCACAGCGATTAATTAAAATCTAGCTATTTATAAATGCATTTATTTTTTAAAGCATGAATCTAGATCCATTTTGCTGATTATAGAATATTATGGATAACGATATGTGTCGAAAGTAAAATAACATCTGAAGGTGTTAATATATGTTTTTAATTTACATATTTTACATACATCTTCCATCCTTTTTTATTTGACTTTATATTTTGTAAAAAAAAAAAAGATAAATCTTCTTAAGAGATTAATAAATTATTTGCTTAATTAATACATGAAGACATAAAAACATTTGATAACTTGCATTATACTATTTTATCAAAAAATGGAGTAGAATTATTTTATTTTACACGGAAAAAATGTTACGATTGCCATAACTGGAAATAATGATAATTTTCGCTCAACATTTAATTGTGATAACAGTAAGATAGATATATCTTAACAAATAGAGCCATTAAGATATGCCAATCTTATGGTTATCATAATCATACTATCAGTTCTCATAATCAAAAAATGTATTGATGGGCGAGTTTTGGTCATCTATGGCAACTATAGCTGTTTTTTCCGTGTAGTAAATGAAAATCGATTGAGAAATATTAAATACAAATAAACAAAAAAGGCTATATTTGGTCAAAGCCGATCTGAATGCCTAAAAATATTTGTAAATTTAAAATCATAAAATTCATACAAAAATATTATTAGGTACCAAAACCCACATTTAATCACATATATAGCATTCTTCGTTTTTTTTATGTTGAACATTTCTCGGTATTTTCATTTATTACTGCTTTTATTATTTATATATCACCTGAAAAAAACATTCTTTTAATATACAACTGGTTATTGCAATAAATATCATATGTTTAGATAGTTTGTAAGACGCCCGTCATACATAAAATGAAAGATTCGACGAATTTGAATTCCGCTGAGAGGATTTTTTTCGCCATAAATTCTTTACAATGTGTTTAAAAAATGATTATTAATATTAGAAATATTAAATTACTTGTAAATGTAATTTATGATATCACGTACTGCAACTTCAATTTAGGACTGTGTTTTAAAACAGACAAATAATGAATGAATAGTTTGTACTTGAACTGAAATTTGTAAAAATACAAAAATAACATAGATACCAAAACTTATATTACTTGCAAACTTTGATCATATGTTTAATCTATTTTAAAAAAAGACTGCAGCATAAAATTTTACATAACACATAACACATAGTGCATAAGAGAATCAATCAATCAAAATCGTTCCTTTTTTCCATTTTACAGAAAAGAGGAACTTTGATTGATTGATTATCTTATGCACTGTGCGTTATGCGTTACGTAAAAGTCTGTACTGCGAAAAAGATGAAGAATTATGAAAGATTGTTAGAGCAGACACTTTGTCTCGCGTGCACGCGCATAGAAAGGGAAATAGACAGCGAGTCGAACGAACTTATATGACTCCGGAATGTAGATCAACGTTCCAAAAAGAACGCCTTTTTTCTAAGAGCCGACCATTGCTAGTTTTGAGTCAAGGAACTTATCTCTTTAATCCGATTACTGCGATACTGCGATTTCTGATTCTTAGGATTGAAACACGAGAGTATTTAAATCAATTCACGATGATTTTTTACAAATCTAGTCTATTATTAAATCTACTTTACATGAAGCTCAATATACTTAATTCTAAATGTTGCTAACTCTCTAGTTGTACAATTATGACACACACACACACACACACACACACACACACACACACACACACACACAAAATCGGATGATTATCCGGTTATTATTTATCTGGTCTCATTGAAATCTACGCTATCAGGACCTACTCAGTGCCGGAGGGAAGAGAGGATCTGAATTGCGAAAAATAAACAATTAGAAATCTAGGAAGTTGTGCTATGCTGTGTAATTTAAAATAGTATCTGGAGATAGCGGGGAACTTCTTCCACAAATTCCACGCTTGAAGATGTGGAATAAACGAGAGAAAAAAGCATGATATTGAGGGAGAAGGACTTGAGAAGAGATAGTGAGGGTGAGAGATGTGTCTAGAAATATTCTTTTTATTAAAATAGATGAATTCGGCTTCGCAAGAGGCGAAGGAAGATAGCGAAGAGGAAACCACTGAAAGAGGAAAAGGCACTACCTGAGGATAGCTCTGTAACCGAGTCTAATCTACTGTCATTATTGCTTTTATTATTAATATTATTATCATTATTGTTATTATTATTATTATTATTATTATTATTATTATTATTATTATTAAAACTACCTAAGTATTCGAACAAGGCCTGGTCCAAAAGTCTATACTCTATTTCTCATTTCGGAGCCGTTTGGCTGCGCATCGAGATAGTTTGCTACAGAACAATTAGTTGCTCACTAAAGACGGTAATGTGAATCAATAAATAATTATTTTATATTAGCCTCTGAAGAAAAAAGAAAGGAGAGAAAAGAAACTACGAATATGACTGGTGAAACAAAAAGATTGCCAAAGGAAAAAAAGAAAAATTGAAGGAGATAAAGTCCGCCGAACAAACTTCTAAGTAATAGATTTAAATGATATGAATCTGTGAATGAATCTATGAATGACGGAATGTGTCAAAATTCACAGATGTATAGTGGCAAAGTGAGTACGACAAATAATTTACCAATTTATTCGTAAAGTGAGTGAATACTCTTTTTTTGAAATTTTCTCCAAAACGAAGCAAACCGAGGAGCATCTCTAAAGAACTTTTTTCTTAATATCGATTCCTTACACGCTCCCAAAGCTTGGCCATTTAAATTCAGAGGACACCCTGTATATTCTTAACAGAATAATAATAAGTGGAATATAAGAATAATATAAGCAATAGAACGGGAAAGAAATATATGTAAAATAAAATTAACAAAAGCATACCCTTCATTGACTAATAAACAGATTAACTACGATATCAGTAATATATAATCAGGGCGATTATCATGATTAATTTTGACGAGAAACATGATTATATAAACATGATTTGTGCGGACATTATTAATTAAGTCATTAAAAACATAATTGACAATTATAATAGTTAAAAATTATATATATATAAATAAAATATATATAATTATAAAAACAAAATATATATTTCTTTAATTATTAAATTTTAAAGTTACTTGGACAATGTTATTTAGAGACGGAAACTTTGATTTATTAGTCTTATAGAAATCTTAACATATTAATTAATCTGTCTTAAGCAATATGTTCACTTTTCGATCAAAAAGATATAATCATGTAAATGCAAATTCACTTGCTCGCCGAGATAAAAAGTAACTATGACACTATAATTCGTAAAATAAATTACTTATTGCGATATAATGACAACTGAATTCATCTTTTATAAGTATTTCTATTAGAATGTATCTATTGGTAATCTACCTGAGAGTAATATCAGTCTATGAGTCACTAAAGTTTTTTTGTAAATACATACCTATGGATCGTTGGATCACAAATCAGACGGTAACACACAATATTACTTAAATTAATTTATAATATAAAAACAGTAATAAGAAATATGAAAATAACAATAATAAGGAATATTAATTTAATATAAAAATATTAATAAGGAAATCTCAAATGATCTTATCATCTGTCGATTGGCAAATTTCATTAATATTCGCTGTGTTAAATTTTTTTAAACTTTTTGGAATACACAAGTTTATAACTACTAATTATTATTTATTACGAAAGACAGAAATAATTTCATACGAAGCATAAGTGTCTTAACAAAAAATAAAATGTTATTTGTAGTTAATAAAGAAAAAAGATAAAAAGAATATATATATTCTTAATAATACATATACATATAATAATACATATATATATATATATATATATATGTATTAATAATAATTGTAATAATAATAGTAGTAATAATAATACATATACATATTTTAGAAACGTAAATTTATTTTAAAACTATAAAAAAAGTAATATTACCCAATATGCTATTTTAAAAAGTAGCTACTTGATATTGACGAGTAGCTTCATATTTGTGCCAAGCACAGATTCCATTTGAATAAATGTACTTATATTTATCTATATATAATGCAAAATTCGTACAGAGAAAATATTTTTTAAAAAAACTTTATTTTTAAAAAGTAAACATTATCCAGAAGAACATTATCCAGAAAATGAGTCATCGAATCGATATCAAATCACACGACATTTAATTGACAACCATTTCTTGCCGAGTAATTAACAATTTATTCCTAAAGAATAGAATAAACTGTAAATTTCTTAAAATTATATATACTAAAAAGATGTGTATTAATTACACAAAATATATCATCTGAAAAATTAAAAATTGTGTTGTTTGCTCAAAAAGTATTCATATAGTCGAGCAATTTAGCTTCTAAAATCAGAAATACATGCGAAGCTCATATGTTTATGTTAAAACAGAATATATTCACAGTATAAATTGTTAATTAATGCTTATTTTCTACAAATAAGATTTTTTTTATAAAAAATTTCCTATGAATGCTTTTTGCACTCACTGTAAATATAAATCACTTGTGTGTACAATTTTTTGATGATGCTCATATCAATCATGCTCGAATTTAGATTCGAAAATCATAATACATTGAACTCTGAGTCGCAAACAGCGAGTCGCTTTTTATAAAAGTTCTAAATAATTTTTTAATTGACATCTTTCCCTGGTGGACGTTTTTTCTCTCGAATTATCATTATAAATCCTACAACTTCAAGAAACTTTTTATTTCATTTTCACAAACACATTTTGCCCTTGAATCTATCTTCCGAATCGCACAAATCAGCAAACCATAATCGAATAAGCAGTATCGCGCCACTCCCAGCGGATTACGTGAACAAGGCAGCCACATGCATTTCGATCCGTTGATGTACATATTACGTGTACCTGTACATACACCTACATACGACCTGGGCTCTGGACCAGTCAAGCCGGTCTGCCGCTCGGTTCCTGGTTCCTGATTCCCGGTTCCTATGCCCCTCGCCCTCTCCGTGCAAAACTTTCAAGGCAATCCTCTTCGAAGCGGTATGCGGCTCCGGTCAATCCACCACAATTTCACAACAAAGAAACGCAAAACTTGCAATTTTTTCCTTTAATAATTATATTCGGGAAAATGTCCATAGTAGAACTTAAATGATAAAAATAGAAAATAATAATTAAGAACATTATTAAAATGTCATCTGGATGTCAACTAATTTATTATTAATTATGGAGTCTGTCTGGCTTAGTTGCGATACATAAATCGGTTGTTATTATCACCATTAAAAGAAAAACGTTGCGTTGATATCATTCATTCAGCATTCCTAAATAGTATATGTAGGTATCTACATATATTAGATCAATTTTTTTACTAATATAATGAATAAACTTATAAAATACATATAAAATACGAAAATAACAAATAACTGTAATGATATATTGTTGATTAATTTAAAGATATACCAATTGTAAGAATAATACAAAATAAAATTTATTCTTGATTGATCGAGTAAAATTATAATCTGCAATCACATGGAATAATTGCAAAAAATAATTTATGTTGTACCTTAGTAAACGTATTAATAAAAATTAATTAAAATTTATAAGTTAGTCACAGTTGATGTAACTGTTAAGTAACAAAGTAATTAAAGTCAAAAATATTATGTAAAAAAATTACGTATGCATCGTATATTTTTTCGACCATGAGTTAACATAAACATCAATTACAGCCATTAAGTAACTACTGGGATAAGACAAAATGATCAAAAAATCAGGTTAGTTTATTATATAGACACGATCGAACGAAACGATGCACCATTTACGCTTCGATCAGCGAGTGTTTTGCGCTGCTCAAGAAAAAAAAAAGGAGGTAGAAGAACCTGTCATGCCACTCGAGCCCGGAAAGGAAAAAGAAAAGCACGCAGCCGATGTCGTTACCGAACGGAAATGAGGAACGATTCGAGAATGTCTGACCAACGCAGAATATGTATGTAGGTATGTTTAACGAGAAGGAGGGGATCCCGTCCGATGATTGCGTATGTCCGATGATGGATCGTGCGTAGCACGATCGGCGATTATATGCAAAAGAGGATAAGGGAAATTCTCTGTGTCGTTCGATTTCCGGGATCTAGGATGAGACTACCGATCTGCACTGCCCACCTACAGCTCTTCTAATGATATCGATAACGATGTCGAGTATGTGACTAAAAAGCACGCCAGCTACGAGAGCCTGTTTATCCTACAGACAGAACCGGAGGCCAGCCTGCTGATTACACTCATCGAACGATGGATCGGTTCTCTCAAGAAGTTATGTGGCAAATAGAAGTGAACCACGGTATGGAGTTCTCCTGGGCCACCTACCGCTCGGTGTAATAATATCGACAGCAATCGGCAGCAGTGTAAGTAAGCAAACATAAACCACGTTTGCCACCTGAAGCGCCATAGAAACTAAATCGAAGTGCAAAGGCTATTAACCGTATTATAACGGTAATCATTAACGGTATAATCGATTTATCGAATAAAAAATATTTTGTTCTATCCAATTTAAATTATTGTTACTTATTCAAAATATCTACAGTATTATTATATTTTATTCAGCATTTGGTTAAAACTCTAAGAAATATTTAAAAACTAAAATATTAAGATAACTGCATTCAGAGATCTGATAGCCGACGGACTCATAATATTTTCAGCCTACAAAGTATTCGTAATTAGTACTCATTAAGAAACAATAATTAAAAATAATTTATCCAAATTATCCTTTTATTTTTATTTTCTTTATTAGCTTTAATTAACTATAATACTTAACTTTTTTATGTATAATTTCAAATTGTTATTGCGCGTCAATTCTTTCACATATTATTATACTAATATATTTCTTTCACATATATATTATACTAATATATTGAATATAAATTACAAAATGTTTTACTTATATAACAAACAGCAAAATATAGTGTAAATTAAAATTAAAATATAAAAAATATTGCATATTATTTATGCTATAATACAAAATATCAATGCAATAAATTACTCAACATTTTACTCGTTCTAATAATTACGCGGATTTTTAGTCAATCATTATATAATATTAAAATATATTCATGGTAGTAACATTTTATACGAATGTACAAGTATTTAAAATATCTAATACAATAAAGTACTAAATACATTACTGATTTTCATTTATGCGTATCGTTGACATAAGTATAAGTTGCATAACTCGTATCAAATATTTAATAAATTGCAAATTGCGTGTGTTTTGTTAAAAAATGTTCCCGTCGAAGATAGATAGTGTCTCGTATGTAACTGTATTTCAGTGAATTTCCAGTCTACGTTAGGCAAAATAAGCGAGACGATAATGACGAACGATTCGCTACTATAAAGGGGGTTAAATTATTGCAATGCCTACCGTTATCATTCTGTATCGTATTATCTATTACGCTATCATGAGTAACGTGGGTTGGCAAGTCTTTTACTAAATCGGTCCATTATCCAATATAGAAATTATTATCTGTGGTTGTTGTGTGGTCTGGCGAGAGTAATTTTGCCGAGAGAATATGGAAAGCGTAAGCGTTTTCAAATGCGACAAACAAGATATAAGCAACACTATCGCTCATTTATTTTTAGCCCTATCTGAAAATTCCAACATACCACCAAGCTGATAACATTTTTAAGTTCACAGAACTATCTCTTGTCGAAAAAATATACTTTAAAAAGTTTACAGTCCGCCGAATACTTATGTATCTTACTCTTTTAACTATGATGATTCAATTACATATTCTGATAATCTTTTTTAGCGCGAATAATCGACAACGTGAAACATTTTAATCAACAAATATCTAACTGTCCTCGAAATAAAGATCGTTCTCACTATCTTGACAATTCTGTTAAATCAGGCTGCCGTGTCCGAGAAGTTACATTGTTAAATCGAGAGGTTGGTTCAAGAATAAAAAATTAGCACGATATATCTTCAAATTATACGTTGTCGCAATGGCGATATGGGTGTATCTCTATATTTTATGAGAGACAACGGCAGGTACCAACACCTATGATCGCCGAAGTCAAAAGTGTGCCCTCTTATAATTTCACTTATCTCGATCTCCTTTTAATCGAGTACTAAACTAAACTATCGACATGCAGAAATCAAATGTCCCCTTATAATTCGGGAACTATCAGCTGCTTTTCGAGCCGCAATAATATATTTAATTAATAATACACATTAGTGATTCGAACTCAGTTAAAAATTACGATTTATGATTATAATCCATGAATTTTCGACACATTTATTTTGTGTAATTATTCTTAATAAAGGAAGTTCGCGTATAATACGAGTATAATCTTGCGTATAGGAGGAAGTCTATATCGTATTTCTTAACATTAAAAAAAAATGTAACTAAAGTACTGAAGAAATCAGAATATTTTTGTACTCACATCAAAACTTTAATTTACTGGTAATAAAACAAAACATTTTTATGTGGAACTAAACATTGAATTATTGTTTAAATTAACATTTTTTAAAAATAGCTTTTTTAGTACGATTTGAAGACAGGATCATTAAATTGCACTATATTTTGATATTTAGATTTTAGGTATAAGAAAAATTATGTGTGCATTGAGTCTTTTTGATAAGAATTCGTAAGAATTATTCATAGATATTATTTGTTGGATTTTAAGAAAATTTAAATCTTCGTTTGTAAAAATCAATGATTGTTCATTAGTTTTTATAAATAAAGTTTCCTTAAAATCTAACAAATAATATTTATGAATGATTTTTAGTAAGTTATTTTAAAAAGATTCAATACAAACATACTTTTTCTCATACAAATATCAAAATATAGTAATTATAAAGTATTATTTAATCTTTTTTATCAATCTTAACATGTTATTTTATCTTAAGTGTAAGTACAATACAAAGATCGATAACAAGTACGATTTATCCAACTTCCTCTATTTTTACTAACAGCATAACTTATGAATATTTTATTAATTTGATGCTATACTCAAAAAAAGTTTAAATATCAAAATTATAATCTTGATAGTACATTATAATTCAATTACTCATTTTGTACTAATAGCATTTTAAATAAACTGTACGAAAATTCAGATCAGACATCAAACAAAATCAATTTTGAATGTTACTCATAAAGGAATGGCTCAAAGACAAAAATGACAATACTTGATCCATGTTACTAGCGTCACATTGAGTGTCGTCACCGTTAAGAAAAAATGTTTCGTTTAGAAAATATGAGACACTATTTAACTAGTCGATACGACTTAGCCGCTACAATCTTTAGTAACACAAAAATTTATCAATATCTGCTTATTTCTTTAACTCTTCTAGTTTCACTTGATTAATTTCATCGCGACTTACAATTACGTAAAATATTGAAACGTGTGAACAGTTCTGATTCTTGATAAAAATAGGAACAAATGACAATTCATGGCTCTGTAGTAGGAAAAAGACTCGCATTATGGACCGCATTATATTTTGCAATCGCATAAACGCAATATGTCTTTGTGCGAAGAAAAATTCTTATTCTATTCTGCGCTATGCTAACCGAATAAAATCGCAAACAGCGATTTCTCTCAACTGGAAATATTCTTCGGCGAGAAATTCTAAGAGTCGAGCATTCGACGAAACGCTCAACGAAGGACTTGGCGAAAGACTTGGTAAAAGAATGCAACAATGTCGACCGGATGGTTTGCACGTGACAGCGGCACGACGATCCGAATAAGGAAGTTTCTTAACAGCACGTACGTGTCGACGTACGTTCACGTACGGTTCGTGCCACTATAGGTATCAGAATCCTCACGTGTGCGATATCCACCTCGAATACATCTAATCCATCGTCGATTCAAAGTTCAGTGATATTCCACATATAACACCAACAAGCTCATAGTTATCAATTTTTATATCAACTAAAAATCTCATAATAGGGTAAAGTCGCCTTTTTTTAAAGATATGTAATTTATTTAATTTGCAACCTTAACTCCTATTTTTGTGTCAATTTTATGAGAAATATATTCAAGATTTACCACCTAAAGTTAACGATCGAGTAGCTGTACTTTGTTGTATGTGAAAGTGTTGATTTTGCTTATTCAAAAAATGGATTCCTAATATGAGATACAAGAGTTTTCTTGTATGAGGTGGTATCTCATAACAGAAAACTAAGAAAAAAATAAAGATAAACTTTTTATACACGCTTTTATTATATTACGTACAAGTAGGAACAAAAAATTTGAATGTGTTATACATGATAATTATATAATTTTTTTATGTATGTGTATGTGAGTATATGTGTATGTGTATGTGAGTAATCTTAACAATAGAATCATCATTTTTAACATTTCGTTCAATAATATGCTTTGAGATATTGAATCGTTTAGATGCTTTCATATAGCTAAGAATACTTTGAGTATCTCATATTACGACTTCCATGCCTTGTGATTTCATGATCACCAAATCTAATCTTTACAGTTAAACATAAATCATTATATCACGTGTTTTCCTATTAATACGACCTTACTCTATCACTTGTACAGACTTTATTACCAAATATTTATTTATTATATAATAAAACAAGATTTGAAGACCTCAATAAAATTCGACAACATCCAATTTCAAAAATCTTTTTTCACAACTATTACACGCATGATCTAATAATGAGTTTTCTACTAAATTTGTTTCACTCTATGAGTAACAAGTTCATAATAAAATCAACCACATACGCTTATTAGTTTAGCAGAAATCCCGCTATCTCATATTGGGAACCTATCCCATAATAGACGAGCTAACTCTATTATTATTATAAATTGAATTTATTTTTTTATTGCGAATTGAGTTTTATTTTTAATTAAATTTATTTTTATTGTATTTAATATTTTTCTAATGTATCATGCTACTATTATTATTGACAATAGATATACTCGCCATCACATTGACAATAAGAAATTTTCACATAATCTGTTCAACGGTATTTAAAATTTTTCCAAAGTGTAACTTTGGATATGGCATACTCAGCTTTCTTTTTCCAATACTTTTCCAATGCCCTTTCCATTGCTTATAACTTTTACATTAATAAAGATACATACATTTACTTGATATCTTATATTCTTTAATGTTTGGCATTTCGATTAAAAAAGAAATTTTATGTTCATTTTTACATGAAAGTTACAAATAGTCGAATTAGTTGAATATGCCATATTTAAGTGTGTTGTTCCAGTGATGTAATACTAATGGATTAATTTTGCTTTAGAAATTTTGAATAAAATTTGTTTTAAAAAAAATACTAGAGATAGAGAATAATATTGAGTCAGGTCTCTTGACAAGTCCCTTTAAAAGTCCTTTTACAAATTGGTAAAAAGAACTTTCCCGATCAATATTTTCGTTAAAAAT